TAGCTTGTGTTTACTGGAGACGGGATGATTTTATTCCCATTGCTTAGGCCCAATAAGATTGAGATAGAAAGTACTGGTGGGAGAATTCTGTGCCAATTCTCCTTCTCCCCCCACCCCACCCCCCAGTTGCCCAGTTCTTACCACTGGTTGCTGAGCAAAGGCACAGGTCTGTTCACACACATGCCAATGTTTGATCTTTAACTATTCATGGTAAATAGGCCCAATGGCTTGTGATGGGATGTTCGATGGGGTGGAATCTGAGGTACTACAGAGAATTCTTTCCTGGGTATCTGACTGGTGAATCTTGCCCACATGCTCAGGGTTCAGCTGATTGCCATATTTGGGGTCGGCAAGGAATTTTCCTGCAGGGCAGATTGGAAGAGGCCCTGGTGCTTTTTCACCTTCCTCTGTAGCATGGGGCATGGGTCACTTGCTGGAGGATTCTCTGCACCTTGAAGTCTTTAAACCATGATTTGAGGACTTCAGTAGCTCAGGCAGAGGTGAGAGGTTTATTGCAGGAGTGGGTGGGTGAGATTCTGTGGCCTGTATTGTGCAGGAGGTAAGACTAGATGATCATAATGGTCCCTTCTGACCTTAATATCTATGAGTCTCTCTCATGTCAGTTACAGTTTGTTATGTGCCATAAATTAATGGTATGTAAATTGTAGATCTACTCAAATTGCATACATAAAAAAAGAAAACCTTCAGCTAAAATTCAGCCATAGTTCATAGTCATTTTAGTTAGATCTTCTCTATTGATTTAGTCCTTTGTTTCTTGTAGTACATGTGAGTAACGCTGAACTTTAAATTCACTATTAAATTAAACTATTAAAAGATACTAGTCCACAACCTACTATAAAGATCAGTGCCGGGTACATAGGTGCTGGAACTCAGAGTGTTGGAGTGCTGCTGCACCCCCGGCTTGAAGTAGTAACAACAACCCAAATACATCGTTTCTGCCTTCAGCACCCCTACTATAAAAATTGTTCCAGCACCACTGACTGGATATCCTTGTATTTACCATGAAATGCAGCAGTATTGTCAGTCCCTGATAACCTTGAGTTCGTTTGCTGATGTAGAATTGAACCTTTGATATTAAATTCAGACATTGGTGGCTATATTTTCAAAATTACAAGTTTGGCTCCTTAAAACTGGGAGAGATTTGAAATCACTTATCTGAGATGTTTGTGCTGACAACAACAAAGACTCTGAAAAAACATCACTGATCTTGTAATAAACTCAAGCTGAGTTTACAGGCTTTGAGCTTTTCTGAAAGCCTGTTTAGCTTAATGGGGGTTGTCAAATTTCAAAACTCAAACACCTTTACATAAAATGGATGATTATTACCAAATTAGGGAACATTGTTTTTTTCAGTGTGTTCTTTTTTCAGTGTGTTCTTTCAGTTATTACAAGTCCTGCAGTGCAGTAGATCATTTTGCCTTTGAAATATTATTTAAAACAGTTTTTGAAAATCTCATATGCAGGGTTTCTGTTCTAAAGGTGTGATAGTTGAAAGATTATCAGCCTGTTTTTTTCCTGTTAAATCAAAAGCTGATGTGCATACATTTGTTTTGTCCCATAAATAAGTATTTAATCTGAAAAAAAGCCTTGGGTTCTGCTGCCATGACAACTAAACAGTGTCTGAAACTCTGCTGTCATGGTGACCTCCATGCCCTCGACTGCATCACACTGACGCCTTTTCTAAAGGGCCCAGCAAATGCAATAGGAGTTCTTGTTGGTGAATCAAGAAGGGCTTTGTCTGAAAAACAATTGGATGGAATATTAAGGATACAAGCAGCTACATATTGTACTTGTGATTAGTTGCTATTCTTAAGTTAGATGCACATTCTTATTTAAAAGTTGAATCAGTAGCCCTGCTCTTCAATTAATTATATGAAAATAATTGCATGATTTTATTATTCATAGTAGTAATTGTAGTACTCCATCACCTGAGAGCCTAGTGAAGGAGCAGAACCTCATTGTTAGGTGCTGTCCATAGAACAAAAAGATGGTTGTGCCCTGAAGAGTATGTTGTTATTCCTGCTGGTTGTAATGTATTTGTGAACAAGTTTGAATCATCTGTGGAAAATAAGAAATTAACTGAGTTGTAGATGTTTTCACCTTATGTAACCAGTATGTTATTGATCTCATTATATTCAGTAGCTTTTAGACCAGATGTATCATGCAGTTAGGTCTGGGAGGAAGAAAAAAAATCAGAAACATTGGCCTAATGAAGTAGTACTGTATGGCTTTTTTACCCACGTTGTACTTTTTCACGCTGTTGGTACTAGATTTAAACTATTTAAAAAAATGTTAAAAAGATATGTTTGAAGATGAGTCAAATTAAGAAGAGCTTTTCAATAGCTGAGATGAATGCATAACAATGCCGTTTGGTTTCTAGTGTTGTTACGTTTCTAAATTTAAACATCCAGGCCAAGATTTTCAATAGTGACCTGGTGATTTTGTGTTTCTCTGTTCTTGGGTGCCAACCTGAAAGGCCTTAAAAGGGCCATGTGATGTTCAGTGGTCACTCGGTGCTTGGGTTGCTTGCACAAACTCTGCTTTATTCGGTAAGTAACTGGCTTTATATAACAAGACCTTCATAGAGCCGAACCGAGACTCTGCCTGAGAAGCTCAGGTACAGGCCTGATTTTCAGAATGTGCTGAGTACCCACCATTAGAAAATTCATACATTGGACAGCCAAAAATGGAGGCACCCAAAATCTGCAGTTATTTTCAAATCTTTTGACCCAGGTATTCATATGTTGAAATTAGAGGTTTATGAATTCGGAGTATTTAATTTTATAGGATTAGGGGAAAAATCAAAAATGGCTTAGGGTTTGTCTACACTACCACCTAAATCGATGTAAGTTACGTTGCTTAGGGGTTTGAGCCCTACTGAACGACGTAACTTACATTGACTTAAAGCAGTGTCTACAATGTGCTACGTCGGCAGGAGACGCTTTCCCGCCGACATAGCTTCCCCCTCTCACTGAGAGAGTAATTATGTCGATGGGAGATTGCTCTCCCATGGACATAGTGCGTCTTCACCAGACACGCTACATCGGCACAGCTGCATTGACGCAGCAGCGCCAGGGTATTCACTACTGCACTACAAGTCCTTAGTTACGTACATGATCTGTTGAGTACTTAGTTACGTACATGATCTGTTGAGTACTTTTCAGGAAAAGTTCCTTGCTGTCTTTATCTTTGTACATAAGATATGATGCTGCACTATTGAACTCATTGTGAACTTTGCCATTCACATATTAAGATGTGGATCAGACACCAAGTGCCTAGTATTTTCTTAGGAGAACTTCAAGTAATGAGTAACTTAAATTATCTAAAGTGTTTGAAACACTGACATTACTCCAGCAGAAGATGGCATTTCCTACGACGTAATAGGAGGCAGCTTTGGATCCCAGAATCAAGGGGGAGTTAGAGTTGGGCAGGTAGGTTGTTTTTATTTTAAAAAATTAAAATGGAAATGATGATTCGGATATCTAGGTAGACAGAACTTGTCACTCTCCCTGCCCTGAAAATAAAATTGTAGGTGATGCTTTGATATTGGTTTATTTGTGAGCCTCAAAAACCTGCCTTTTTATTATTTTATTCAGGCCATTGGAAACAGAGCAAGTCAAAAGCAGCAGATGAAGAATGGGGCTAAATTCAGCTCTTATTTATGCTTGTGTAGATCCTGAGTCATTCCAAATACTTCAGTGAAGTGACTCCAGATTTACACTGGCATAGCCAAGTGTTGAATTTAACCCACAAAGTTGAATTTTGGGTTCATTTGAGCCTTTTGAAGGTAATATGCTTTCTCAGGTGCAACTGAGGAGCAGACTTTGGTCTAGGGTGTAGACACAGATATGCATGGACCAAAGATAAAATATGTATTAAAAAAGGAATGAGGTACCAGGTGTGACTTGGATTTACTCACCTTGACACTCCTCTATGGATTGCAGTAACAGGAGGCTATACTAAGAAGAATGTAAAGGGCCATAGTCTCTCGAGACCTCCAGTGGCAGAAACTCTTCTTGGAGGTACAGCACAGCACTGCAAACTCTCACTCTCCAGGAGGACAGTAGTCATCTTTTGCTGCCAGAAAAACTGAGCTTATTTTTGAACAAAGTGGATGAGGCTGGCTTGGAGACGGGCTGAATCAGCTTCTCTCCCAGTAGCTTCTTCCAATGAGATTTGAATGAAGCCCCATGCTGAATTGAAAGGAGGGAAGAGTACCTACTCTCATGCCTAGAATGGAATAGAAGTAGTGGGATGGACAGAATGGAGTGCAACCCTCATACCCCTCCAAGCAGAAGGGATGGTTCCAAAAAAATGCCACATAGTAAACAGTATGGAGTTTGCCCCCATCTGTCTTCCTCCCCAGGGCTTTGCTTTGGGACAGCCTCAGGACTGGGTGATATTAATTTGAGGTTTCTGAAGGAAACAATATATGGAGTGAGAAAGGTATGGCTCTATACTGCTGCAACGCATGGCACGGATATGCAAAGGGCTCTGCTTTTAGAATATTTCAGGATTCCCATTTACATGGAGATGAGAAATATCATGAAGGTGACTTGAGTTGAACTCCAGGGGCATCTTTTTCTACTTGATCTAAATACTGGTATTAGCAATAGCATTAAGGGTAGGCTGGAAATCTGTAAGAAAGTTCTGTAGCAGTTGTTGCAAGGGAAGGAAGTATAAAAGAGCCTACATAGGGGGTGGGGGAGACAGCTCCAGAGCCTGAAGGTGATCTAACTACTGAAGTATTTATAACACGCACATCATAGTACTGATATGGGTAATAAACCTCATACTTGAGTAGCTGTTGGATAAGAAATGGTCCATCAGCTAAAAAAAAAATCTACGTAAATGTGTAGCTTTGTCATATGTAAATCTGGGGACAGGTCATTATCAAAAATAAGTGTTAGTTGTGTTAATTATATTTTACACATCTGTATTTTATATTATAATAAATATTCATGGTTGTGTATTTGCAGTTTCCTGAATGTGGTTTCTATGGAATGTATGATAAAATTCTACTTTTTCGCCATGATCCTACCTCTGAAAACATTCTCCAGCTGGTGAAATCAGCTACTGATATCCAAGAAGGAGACCTAATTGAGGTTGTCTTGTCAGGTAAAGTGTATGTTTTCTTGAGGCTTGTTATCATGTTTTGTAATTGTGAACACCTACAATATTTTGGTGTTGGTTAGGTATCTTAGTTTGTTTCATGGATTAAATGCTTAGCTAAAATCTGCCCTCAAATATATGTGTACAACAATTTGAAGTTGTGTACATAACTGAGGACAGAAATTAGCCCTCAATGAATGTTTTCGTGGTATGCCTTTTCCCCCCACCCCATCATACTGTATGTTCTCTAACAGCCTGATTTTGCCATAATTTCTGATAAAGCAGCAACATAATGTTAAAAATAAAGGATGAAATTATCTCTAACATAGGTGAATAGTAATAACATGCAGTATACAATAAGGAAAAAAGCTGATGTGGGAGGATAAATGTCTTCTGTGGAATAGGGTAAAACCAAAACATAGCAAATAAAAAAATACATGAAATTTAGCATGCATTTACATTAAAATTAGCTTAAAATGAGATATATAACATTTGTAGCAATTGTTTAATGTTTTAGTGGATCAAATATACACCAATGGCACAAACCATTACTATTATTACAGTAATACAGATTTATGTAGGACTATACTTTTGTTTGGCATTGTATGGATTTTAAAACAGTATAGACCCAGCCTCGAAGAACTTGAAATGTAAATTAGGCAGGGACAGAAAAAGAAGATAACTAGCAAACAAAATGGTAGGGAAAAGAAGGCTGAGGTTTAAAACCATCACGAAAAATGAGAGAGTCATGTTGTACAGCTAGCGAATTTAATAAATTCTGATATTCTTAAATTATTAAGAAAAAGCAAGCATGCATGCTGACAGATATTATAAATTTAAATAAATAAATATGCACCTTTCTTTGTTCCATCTCCTAATTGTCTCAACATTTGTACTCACTTTCTTGGATTCTCACTCCTGTTTGCTATACAGAAATTGTTCCTGCAAGCCCCGATTCCTAGTCCTCTTTATTTTCAGGTTATGCTTCAAAACATATAGAGTGGGTGTTGCACACTCACTTAGCCTGAGGTTATGAGACTTAGAAAACCAGTCCGATGGCATTTCTTTGCTGGTGGACAGAGAATATTTTGTTCTCTTTACCATAGCATTCCCATAAGGCTATTGCATGAGAGAAGGTCCATTTACTATACCCTTTGCTCAAGAAAGATGAAGGCTATACAGCAGGGGTCGGCAATCTATGGCATGCGTGCCAAAGACGGCATGTGAGCCAATTTTTAATGGCACGCTGCTGTCTGCCGGACCCTGGCAGACAGCAGTGTGCCATTAAAATTCCTGCCCGGCCCGGCCTGCTCTTTTCCGTCCCCTGCCCACCGCTCTCTTATTGCTGGGCAGGCAAGCTTCCCCCTCCCCTGCCTCTTTTCCCCCAGCGTGCTGGGTTCCTGCCCCTCCTCCTCTCCCTCCCTGCGGCCAATCAGCTGACGGCCCTTGCTACGTGGGGGAAAGGGAAAAGCGGAACCGCAGCACGCTCTCTGCTCCGGGGACCTTGGGGAGGGGGGTGGAATCAGGGCATATCCCCTCCAGCCCCCTGTCGTGAGCCTCTCAGAGCAGGGGGCTGGGAGCACCCCCACGACCCCAGCCCACACCCCCAGCCCTCTGTCCTGACTCCTGCACCCCCTCACACCCCCCCAGCCCCCTGCCCTGACCCCTGAACCGTCCCCACGCCCCAGCCCTCTGCCCTGACCCCTGCACCCCCTCACACACACCCCAGCCCCCTGCCCTGACCCTTGTACCCCCTCACACATCCCCAGCCCTCTGCCCTGACCCCTGAACCCCCCACACCCTCCAGCCCTCTGCCCTGACCCCTGCACCCCCTCACAAATCAGCAGCCCTCTGCCCTGACCCCTGAACCCTCCTCACACCCCAGCCCTCTGCCCTCACCCCTGCACCCCCCACACACCCCAGCCCGGACTCCGGCATCCCCCACACATACCCAGCCCCCTGCCCTGACTCCTGCACCCTTCTCACACACCCTCAGCCCCCTGCCCTGAGCACCAAATGAGAGCTCCTGCACACACACACACCCCACATTCCCACCTCACCCTTCACACCAAATGGGAGCTGCCCAGGTAAGTGCTCCACACCCAAACCTCCTGCCCCAACCCTGAGCCCCCTCCCTCATTCTAGCTCCTGGCCAGACCCTGCACCCCAACCTGCTCCTTCACCCCCAGCCCTGGTCTCAGCACACTCCCACCCTCATCTCAGTGCAGAGAGAGAGGAAGGGAATGGCTAGAACCAGGGAGAAGGTAGGTACCTACTCTATGTGGGCAGGGCCGGGACCCCAGACCGGCAGCGGGCTGAGCGGGGCCGGCAGCCGGGACCCTGGCTGGCAGGAGCCGGAGGATGGAACCCCAGACCGGCAGTAGACTGAGCAGCAGCAGCTGAGCCGCTCAGCCCACTGCTGGTCTGGGGTCCCAGCCACCGGCCCCTCTCAGCCTATTGCCGGTCTGGGGTTCTGGCTCCCAGCCCCTTGCCAGCTGGGGTCTCAGCCACAGGCCCCGCTCAGCCCGCTGCTGGCCTAGGTGAACGGAACCCCAGGCCGGCAACGGGCTGAGTGGGCCGGCGGTGTAAGATCAGCATTTTAATTTAATTTTAAATGAAGCTTCTTAAACATTTTGAAAACCTTGTTTACATACGACAATAGTTTAGTTATATAATATATAGACTTGTAGAGTGAGACCTTCTAAAAAATGTTAAAATGTATTATTGGCACGCGAAACCTTAAATTAAAGTGAATAAATGAAGACTCGGTGCACCACTTCTAAAAGGTTGCCGACCCCTGCTATACAGTAAAGAAGTCAAGATCCGAAGCATTCCTGTAAGTCAGCAAGAGGGCATTCATATTTTCCATATCAGGAAGCAGATTACTCATTTTGAAAAGATGCCAGCTATCCCTATTTTCTGTGCCATATTTGCTACAGTACGTAATTGCTACAGTTCAGTAAATCAGTAATAATGCTACAGTCAACCAGCACTTAGTCTTTTATTTGGTGTGTAACTTATTCTCTTTTGAAATGCAGACCACATAAAATGCTTTTCAGTTTGCCAAAATTAGAAAAGCAGCTGTTTAAATCTTCAAAAGTAACACCTGATATAGAGCTTTAAGGCAGTAAAGGAGAACTGTACTAGTGGGGGAAAAATGAAAGTATTAAGGCATTCATGCCCTTACATCACTGGTGGAACCTAATGTCTGTGCACGAGTGTGTGCAAATATAAATAACTCCATGATATTTATGCCAGTTATATGAGTTAAATCAGCAGCAGGCTTGTTGTATGAAAGTAAACAGCCCCTAGGCTTGGTCAGACACTCTTTTTTTCTTTCCCAGTTTGCCACACACCTCCCACCCCTCATTTACTGAGATTCCGCTGGCCCAAGGCCTGGGATTTTGAGACTGACAGCTGATGTCATATAGAGATGTCCTCTTCTGTGTCCAACTAAACAAAATTTCAGTTAAGCAAAACCCCTGTAGTGCCCTATTATATACCCCCGACAAGAACTCTGCTCTACAATTCCTGACAATATTGATCAGGTTTATGGTTTTATCTAGTTTTGCTTATGACCAGCATAAGCACTAAGATAGATCTCAGTTAATTACATTTGTTAGTCACCTATGAATTCTAGGTAATTTAAATAATTGAATGTTTCCCCTTTACAAGTGCAGGGAATGCATTGAACAGTGTAACTGCACAGTGTATCCTGATTGGAAACAAAATTAAAATAGAAAATTGAGAATGTTTAGAATCTCTTAGTAGGCCAGTGAAGAAGTTTGGCATTCTTATGCTCTGAGAGACTGAACTGTGAAAACTGCTAGATCTCAAATGAATATGCAAAACCCACAGCCACTCTGGCATCTGCAATGTGATATTGCATGAGAAGTGAGAGATAAGATCTTTGTTTTTTAAATACATAATTTATGTAAATTAATATACCCGGCTGTTGTTAGATGTTGGCTGCTTGTGTGTGTTGTTTGTGTGCTGTCCCAGCTCTGTGCAGATAATTGGCACAGTGGACCTTGATCGAATTGCTCAATAACCACAAACTCGGTTCATAGCGAAGGCACTTGGTCAGGTTTATTGTCAACGAAGCACAGTCCCAATGTCCTAGCTCAATGGTTACAGTTAAACTAACACATGTATGCCCGTTGGAATGGACTGGCTTAGTTAATGGTGGGACTTTCCATTATCCCCAAGGTCAGCCAAAGACACTTCCTCTGAAACTTCATTTTATACCCCGATACAAATAAGTTATGTATTGCCCCCTGTTGTGGGTTGTTACCATCCATTACCTTGTACGTGGTGATTTGATCAAAACATCTCTATCCATCACACAATCATACCAGGCCTTTGATACAAGGGTTTATGTCTCAGGCTCTCTTCCTACTACATTCCCCCCACTTTTTGTCTTTTTTATGGGGAGGATGTTTACCCATTGTCCCGGAAAAGCATAATGCATTGACTGAAGATGATCCAGTAGGATAAACACTGTTATGTGGTCACCTTACTTTACCATCCATACTTCATGCCCCATCTGTCCCATAGTCTGCACATTCCCTCGTACGACTGATGGACAGATTTCATTTTCCAATTATTGTCAGTCCCTTATGGTGGACCTAGGAATGTTAGGCCCGGGACCATAACTAATCTGTGGGGTCTAGAGTTGTTCTTTGATAACTTTTGGGTGGCATGAGGAGGCCTTTATATTTATTTAATTGGTGATCAATGAGAAGGGCTTTGGTGGATGAGAAGAGCTTTGGTCACGATTATAAGTGTATTGTGCTTATACCTTATAGAGCAGTATAGGTGTATATATGAGCGTATATATATACATGATCCTTGAATAGATAAATACCAGATATATTTCCTATATAACTTCTGATAAATGATAATATATGAATAATATGGATAGTTGACGTTGCATGTAGCAATCAGAGCAATTAATGTTATGGCTTGTATTTCCATCAGTGTTACTCTAAGTGTCCTGATTATTG